GACGAGCAACTACTCAAGACGACCATTATGTCTCACATAGCACATAGATGGCAGCATAGCACTCGAAGCGAATCGCGAGTTTGAGTACAGGATATCGACGATCGTGGGCTGAGGCCTGACAACATATTGTTACTTGAGAGTTCTGACCGGCGCTTATTTTCATTTTCTGCCTCCACCGACAGCATAACTCACGATGGCGGGCACAATGGCGGCCGCATTGGCCGCTTCTCTTCCAGCACCCCAGGCTGCCCCTGCACCTGCTGCGCCTTCCTATGAAGCCATTCCGGCATCTATGTCAAAAGTGATCGACACCGAGGGCGAGATACCCATTACAAGTGTACAACTCGACGGCTTGGTATGTTTTCCATGGTGACTGTAACGGAGACCGAACTGGGACTACCTGTACTAACTTGTTACACAGGTCGTCAGTAAAATAATCAAACACAGCCGTGATTCACCCGCACATTATACTTCGTCCTCGCCCTCCACAGCATATGGGTTATTATTGGGGATAGACCTAGACGGAACACTAGAGGTTTCCAATTGCTTCGCTATGCCCCATTCGTCGGACGAGGAGGAACGCACGGGGAAGGCGACTGGTTAGTGTTCTGCCCCATTCGCACAATCTACTAATACGAAGACTGGCCCGTCTCTAAGCCCGTTACCAGACTGCAATGTTGCGATCACTCAAGGAGGTCCAGTCGGACGATAGCATTGTGGGATTTTACCAATCGACAACCCTAGGGGCGTTTTTCTCCCAGACGCTCGTAGAGTCAATGGCAACACAGAGGGATAAACTCCGCAGGGGAGGCGTGGTGGTTGTTCATGGTGATTAATGCATCAAATTTGTAGGGTCGCTTCGTATTGACACGATTTGCAGATATTTCTCAGACAGCACGGGGCAATGCGGCATTTCGAGCTTTCCGGTTGACGCCTGCCTTTTTGGACGCTCACAAAGGCGGCAAGTTTAATACGCAGAGGTCAGTTTTAAAAATGGATGAGCGTAGTCACTGTCTGAAATTGGGCTTTCTGAATTTGCAGCTTAGTTGAGCATCACCTGACTTTTTCCTCAATCCTTGAGGAAATTCCAGTAGTAATTCGTACATCGGCATTACTCAATGCCCTCCTCGGGACACTCTCGGAACCAGGCTCGGACCCTTCAGTCGACGCGACTGGCTCGACAGTGCCCACCCTGGCAGTCCCACAGTCAGCCCTACCACCCTCCTTTGCCCCGCTGGACTTGGAGTCGCCAAGCTATATAACATCTAATTTGGAGCGCATCGTGGAAGGGCTTGATGATTATAAAAACGAAGAAAACAATCTGGGATACCTGTCGCGGCAAATTGCGCGAGAGAAGGCGCGGGCGGAGGCATACGTTCAGAAACGGAGAGACGAAAATATGACACGGGTTGCTGCGGGCCTTGCGCCGCTTCCCGAAGATGATGTGTCACGGATATTCAAAATTCCCCAGGAGCCCAGCCGGCTGGAGAGTATGCTGTTGTTGGGGCAGGTTGACTCATACGGGAAGACGCTGGAGGGCTTAGCCAGCAGCCAGCTTGTAAAAACATATGCGACGCGTATCTAAGGATACGGACACATACATAGAGCATGGTAGAGTCGTGGACAATACTATAAATGATGGACATTGCTGAACGATGATCGATGATGAACAATGTCCTGCGACACGCGGTTACTGCATTGTGACAAGGCTGTGGACAAAGCAGTTTTAGAAATTCAAACTCCGAAGAATGCATGCGGTGCTTCATATAAGAGCGGGAGACCGTTGCAATGCTCGTCACCCTCCACTCCTTACCTTGCCCCGTCTCAGAGTTCGGCCTTGGCCTTCCCTCCCGCGCGAGACTCACTTCATAAAGTTCGACAGTCAATCCTTCAGCTTTTCGTGCCACCGTTCTCTTCCACCTTCCTTCACCGCACCTAACGACCAACCTCGACTACCATGTACTTCGCAACCACCTTTGTCGCTTCCCTCATCGTCTCTGCCAGTGCCCTTGCGACGCCCCACGTTGCCGACGGCCTGGCGCGTCGTCACCAACACGCTGCCCTCGCCAAGGCTCGTGCACCTGCGCCTGAACCTGTCGCAGATCAGCTTGTGGCAAATTCCACCTCCCAAGGGAAGCAGTTGAGGAAACGGTGCAAAGCTCGCAGGCCGTCCACCACGCTCTCTGCGTCATCCACACCGGCGGCAGCCCCAAGCGCAGCTGTTAACGTTGCGCCGCTGCCTGTTTCCGTGTCTGTTTCTATTGGTACGGCTTCATCAGACCCGGCCCCCACCCACGCTTCGTCCTCTTCCAAGGCTTCTGACAAGCCTTCGGCTGCTCCAGCGCCATCGTCGGCCTCTGCATCAGCGCCGTCGCCATCTTCTGCGCCCCCACCGCCTAAGCCGGCTCCGTCGCCCTCTTCTGCGCCCTCACCGCCCCCACCGCCCCCGTCCGCCCCCGCACCGCCACCCGCACCATCGTCGTCTGCACCCGCACCCGCACCAAGCAGCGGTGGCGGCGATTCGAGCAGTCTCTTCACCGGAACTCACTCTGGAGATGGTATGTCACTTGAACTCACACACTCATTTGAGCCCTTATCTCAAATGCAACCGCAGGTACATTCTACGGAACTGGTCTGGGTGCTTGTGGTATCACCAACAGCGACACCGATTTCATTGCTGCAGTCAGCGAGATCCTCTTTGACTCTTACCCGTGAGTCTTTTCTATTGCTCTCAAGCTTCGTACCTCGCATATAACCATGCTTCAGGGGTTACAATGGTGTCAACCCCAATACGAACCCTGTGTGCAATAAGAAAGTCGCTGTCTCTTGTGAGTAATTTTTGAAACAAGACTAGTAAAATTTTTTACCCTTGTCTTAGACCAGGGCCACTCGACAACGGTTACTATCACGGATCGTTGCACTGGTTGTGATGCAACTTCGCTTGGTAGGTTCATGATAATAAAGGCTGCGTAATTCCGCTAATGGTTTGGCCCTTATAGATTTTAGCCCTTCCGCGTTCGATGTGCTTGCGGACCCCTCTGTTGGACGCATTCACGACATGGAGTGGACCTGGTTGTAAACGCATAATGCGCCCAGTCCATTCCCATAAGTCCAATATTTGCCTCGGCACTGTTCATAGATTGCTCTATCCCTTGTTCGTCTTTTCACTCGCGTTACCCATATGGAGGAATGTCGCTCTCGACGAGCCTGGGAGTATGGGAAGAAGGTGCGGGCGTGTCCCTACCTCTGTATAGTGCTGGCTACACTACGATGCGTGGAGATTGCATTAGTCGATTTCGTGGTCATCCTATTGTCTTATTTTTATCTCTCATGCAAAATTGGAAATACAGTCTATAAATCAGTTGGATTTGTGAAACTTTGAATAAAGAAATTTCAAGTGTCAATTGCTGCCTCACGTGATTACATATATGCTTCGACTCCGAGTCCACGGAGCAAGCCCGCCGTTTCTCTCATTTGTTCCACACTACTGCCATGCCTCGAGCTATCATTTCACCCTCTGTTCTTGCTTCCGATTTTGGCCAGCTTACAGCAGAATGTAAAAGAATGATTAAAGGCGGAGCCGAGTGGCTTCATATGGGTGAGTAGGTTCCAGTTTCATTCATTCATGTACCCATTACCTCCTAGATGTAATGGATGGGTGAATCCTTTCTTTCGAGACACCATCAAAATATGTGCTCACGTCTTGGCGATACAAATAAGACATTTTGTCCCCAATATCACAATGGGTGCGTCAGAACACACTGATTGAGCAACCTAAATGAAATGCTGCTTTCATTTGCCCATTAGGAGCACCAGTGCTCAAATGCGTGAGCAAGGGGGTACCAGGCATATTCATGGATTGTCATATGATGGTTTCTGAACCAGAGAAGGTTTGTGGACAGCTTCCTCTTTCTACGTATATTAACCTATTTCTTTCACTAATACGATACTTTACAAAGTGGGTAAACGACATTGCAGATGCAGGCGGCGCGTTGTACTGCTTCCATTACGAGGCAACGAGTACGTACCCGCTCTACACCCCCCTTTCCCCAGTCACGCTTGATCTTCTCATTAGTCCCCTCTTACCATGATACCCTAAATAGCAAATCCATCTGCACTAATCGACGTGATCCACGCAAAGGGCATGCGCGCGGGGGTCGCGATCTCTCCTGACACCCCATCTACTGTGATCAGTGACGCCGTGGGCCACGCCGCGGATATGCTACTCGTCATGACAGTCTATCCCGGTACGTTCCGTTGTCGCCCTCTCTTCCTCTCCACATCTCATCTTTCACACGGCCCTGAAGGACGCGGTGGACAGAAATTCTTGGAGCGCTGCGTGCCCAAAGTCGCAGAGTTGCGCGCGCGGTTCCCCGAGAAAGACATTGAAGTCGATGGTGGAGTTGGGCCTGGCACGATCGATGCTTGTGCCCATGCTGGTGCGTACTTTTTCTTACCTGCTGCGTGAGCATTGCCCTGGAACATTGCTCTTTTTTCTTCGTCATCGCAGGGAGCAATGTTATCGTTGCTGGGACCGCCATATTCGGCGCCCAGGATCCTGACAAGGTAATTGCGAGTCTCAAGGACAGTGTAGGGGCTGCGCAGGCGCAGGCTGCGGCAAATAAGCCGTGAGCCCGTTCGTGGGGTAAGATACTAGAAGAACGAGGAAAGCATTTACATTAAACATCACTGGCTATTCACTCGTGGTCCCCATTTTCGTAATATGGCAGCCATAGTGTGCACATGTGCCTATACTTAGAGCCCTTTGCTTGAGTCTTTCACAGATGGGTTACGGCCGGCACGGCTATCACTGAGCTATGATGGCTTGAAGTCGGAAGGAGATGGGCCTCACCCCTCATCTACACTCACACCATTGGTGAGCACCCTTTGCACTCCTGTTAAACAAGGTCGTCTGCAGAACGCCGTCCAATACGGTATTGAAAAAAAAAAGTTTGCTAAAATTTACTGAACGATTGGGGCACTAACAAATACAAAACTACTACCGCGTATGGGGATCGAACCCATAAGCTTCGCCTCTAAGTTAACTCTGATGATAAATCAGAAATAGTAGGAAAGCGACGCCCTACCATTAGGCCAACGCGGCCACAGGTAAAGCTGCCACAATAGCGCTACTAGATCTCCTTGAAGCTTGAAGATCTATCTTTCCAACCTCATCTACGTTACTAGGCCACACGGACTGGAAAATACCCATACCGGTATTATTGCAGCTTCTGCATTCATTGCGCCTAGTAGGTTCATTGGCTCGTTGATGGAGACCTTGGCATTCCCCTATGTGCAAGTTCGATATTCTAGAAAGTCGGAGACCGCGACTCAGGGCAGTTCCTAGATCCAAAATGCTTGCGACTTCCGGGCAGCCTTTCAGATCAAAGCCCAGAAATATATAACTGTGTCGACCCTAAGGTCCTGTACGGATACGAAAGTTAATGTGACATTAGCTTAGTCACTCATCAACTGCCCCCGGCGCTCCCAGCTGGCCGCCGGCCTGAGTTCCAAAGGCCGGTCACGCAAGAGTCTCTGAGACCACAATGAACGACGACAACGACCGCATGGAGGAGGACATCTCATCTGGCCCCGGATCCCATGCCACCCCCGGAACACCTCCCACCCCATCTACGCCCAATTCTGAGGTGAGAAGGGAGGCCGCTGAAGCCAAGGCAAAAAAAAAAGAACTTTCTCTCCTTAGTTCTTGCTGCTGAAGCAGGACTTGTCTACCATTCCATTCTGATGAAATTCGCCAGACCTTTGTACGACAAGACTCCATACCATACATCTATACTCAGTGGCTATGGATGGGTTCAAGAACTCCTGAATGGCCATCCCGAACGAATTCGTTGCGAGTTGGGGATCCATAAAACATGTGTTTTGGAAACTCATGGATTATCTTCAACGAACAGGGAGCCGGTCATCACGATACGTTACACTGGAAGAACAATTATCAATTTTTCTGTACACCTGTGTGACTGGGCTATCTATTCGACACGTTGGAGAACGGTTCCAACGTTCCAATGATACTATATCCAAATACTTCACTCTCATGCTGCTCCGCTTCTCCTCACCTCCTTTCTACACTGATCATGTCCGACTTCCGGAGGTGAATGCCCCTGTGCCTCCCGAAATTTCAGAACAACCCCAAATTTTCCCCTTTTTTCAACAATGCGCTTGGGCGCAATTGACGGCACGCACATA